GTACACACTTCCGCAATCAATCCCGCAGAGCAGGGCCAGCAAACATGATGTGAACCTACAGGACTAGTGAATGCTCTAATAATTCCCATGTGAGATTAGGGGGAGAGTACAGTGAGATTATGGAGCCACTGCCAGCACTGCCTGTTTTGGCTTGTGCTCATGCTCCAGTTGACTGATTAATCTGTGAGGGTTACCCGAGGATAGAGGCCAAGGCTTTCTCTTCTGCTGGTGAACACTTCTACCTACTGGTCACAACTGCACACTACACCTGAGGAGAAGTCTAAAAAATGACATCTCATGGCATGAAGTCTCAGAAGTCTCTTATTATTGGACTAGAGTAGTGTTAGTGAAGCATTCCTTTGCCCATATTTTCTCTGATCTAAAGCCTGTATTATATAATTGACAGCAAGTAAAACCTTGTCTTGTGGCATTGTGACACTGCCACATATGTGAGGAAATATATGGTTTATTTCTCCTGTTGCAGTGTCCCTCTCTCCCCGGCTTTAACTTGTCGTCTCCCACTAGTCACTAATCAGGTGTGCAGTTCCCCCAGGTGTAAGGGGGCGTGGCTTGGGAACAAATGGAGAAATAATTGTTTGGAAGAGGAGTTTGTTTGGAGAAAGATGAGGAAGCCTGGCAACTCTACAAAGTGAATTAAGAGGGATTTTTCTAATGTGTACGGTGTTACCTCCATCTGCTGGAGGAACATCAAGACAAGTGGAGTCTGAGCACCATACATGCGGGTGAGTTCAATTCCTTTTTGGGACGTTTTTCTTCTTTTTGCACTGCAGTTTTTCTCAATTTTTACTGGATTATTCAGATGCATTAAGAATACTTTTTTCTGAGATGTGATTGTTTGGGGCAGGTAATTCATATTAAAGTTGACATTAAGGTTCCCTCTATAGTGTTCTTCCTTTGTTTGGGTAATTAGATTTTAAGAGGACCCAAATCATTATCTTAAAAAGGTTTTAGTAACACAGTAGCCATTGAACCTTTTTTGAATTACAACAAGGCTTAAAAGTTAAGCTGATTGTTAAAATGTGGCCGCAGGCGGAACTGACTTTAAAGTTTGAAACTAGAAAGGCAGTGCAGCAGCTGTTTTCTGCCTTATGTGACTCATTGAGATGTTGTGGCATGCATTTAATCAAAGGGTTTCAGAATGAGGATATTAAACAGTAGATTTAGACACCACGAAAATTGCACTTTATGAATATGTTCTGTGTTCTGTGGGGAAATGATTTAGATAACAGAAAATAATTCAGTCACGGGGAGACTGACCATAAAAAAAAATACACTTTATTTGTTAACAACGTGGAACATCGTCTTTCGTATTTTAATTTCATTCAACTTTCAGTCTCTGTGGGGTTTGTGTTGGCTTGTAATGGGAAACTATCTGAATCAAGATGAAGGAGTTGATGATCAAGAAGAGCAATCCAGCAAGCCAGATCCACAGGAAGGTGTTGTAGCCTTCAAACTCCAGGAAGTAGGCCGGGCCCAACCACAGACCCTGACAGTGGGGAGAAAACATACATTTCTTTAGAACAGTCAATTCTTGTTGATTCAATCAAAATATTGAAAATAAAGTTATAAAGAATAAAAGAATCTGTGAAGTTGAAGACCCTGTTTTTGATTACCATTTTAAAGCTAGTTTGATTTGATATATGTTAAGGTTCATATCTGAAGTCCTATTTAATACAACACAAATTGCAATCAGGTGAATTACCTGTCCAGCAAACCAGAGGATCAGCAGTCCCACTCCCTGTTTTAGTGACAGACTCAGGTGAGGGATGACCAGAGGGAGTAGACAAAGGTACCACAGGAAGTACTATGAAAAGGGAAAACACAGAACATTGTTAAAGGCTTTAAAGAAATCTTATTTATAAATGCATATTATTGTACACTTCACTCGCAGGCACTGTGGTTAGCCCCATGGCTGTCAAAGTGGTGCAGCAATTAACTACAAATATACACGCTTTTCTAACTTAATTGACAGTGGAATGTGTAAAAACAAAGGGTGGGACGAATAGTCTCTTGAGGACAACTTAATCTGATAATGACCGCAACACAATGCATTGTCTGATCTTTTAGACCCTGTTTTATGATGTACCTGTGAAGTGCAGACTTTGTTGAAAGAGACAAAGATGGCGGTGTGCAGGAAACAGCAGAAAGACAGGTCGGAGTGAAAGGCCCATGATGCGACCAGCAGCAGGATGAGCTGAGGCAGGAACGCTGCCAGGCCCAGCCACTGGCTCCACCCGCTGTCTGCACCAACAGAGGAGAAAATCATTTGACCAGACATAAGGCTGAGGAGAATGGCTAATAAACATACTTTTAGAGTTATAACTAATTTATTAATGGCTACAAATACCTGCGGTGAGGTAGAGCATGTAGAAATATGGAGAAAAGTTGTGTCGGATGTCCCTTCTGGTCAGATGGTACAAGTAGGTCTCATGAAGGAACTCCCATCCATACCTGACAAGAAAGGGGAGGATTATTAATAGAAGATAAGGGATGATGTGGATTATTTCGTATTTAGAAATACTTCAATCAGACTTTTGGTTCGCTGTTTCTATTACCTTCTTAAGACTTTAGGGGGAGGTTTAATATATATAAAATAGCATGACTAACAAGATATTACTGTTGTCAAATAGAAGCCAATCATCTTCAAAATAATATTGTACAAAACTAGCTGGGATAAATTACAGAAAAATCTTAATATTTACCACTCAGTATGCAGATTTAAAAACCACAGTCACAATAAGCACCTTTTTTTTACTGTGTGTAATTTGTTTGCATATCTCACATGTAATAGAAGAGTGCCGTCAGCATACAGAAAACTCCTGCTGCTACACTTGCAAAGAGAAATAGCTCCCGGTTGAGGAAGCTTCTAATAAACCGCATTAAGCTCTTCATCCCCTTTTTGTCCTCTGATCTGGTCTCTGTTGTGCGCAGGGACAGAGCAATTGGAAGAGCATATGTCACCGGGTAGATCTTCATATGGACTGACAGACCATAGAGTATGGCTCCCCACATCAGATGCCGGGCTAGAAGAGCACAGGTAAAGAATATTGGCACAAGAGCTGTGTATATTACAATCAAGCAGTATCTATATCATCAGAGCTAAGGTATTTTTGAAGCTGCAAGGCTTCCACACCCTTACCTTCCATACAGAGTAATGTCCCCAGCACCAGTGCAGCTAAGATTGACTCTGCATTCCCTCGGCTGGATACTCCAATGGGCAGTGGGTTGAGGAGCCACAGAGAACAAACACGCAGCGCAGCCTAAAAGAAAATCCCCCAAAAACACAACTTACAATTTCCAAAAAGTGTTGCATTACAGGGCAAAATGAATACTATAACATAACAAAAGTACAAAATGCTGAAAACATACCTCAGTGCCAAGACCTTTGAGAAGAAGGATTTTGTAGATGAGCAGTCCAGAGAGCACATCACATACGATGAACAGGATCTTTCCAAACACCATGCTGAGGTAGATGTTAGGGGTGAGCAGCCAGGCGAGGAGAGGGGTGTAGCGGTATGTTGATCTGTTGTAAGGGGACTGCCCCTGTGCAAAATAAGTATTAGAAACAAGAATTAAAGTATCAAAAATAATTATCTTGCAGAATGACCCCAGTCAGTGTTGTACTTTCATATTATTGGATTATTATAATAGATGGATTGACAATTAGCAATGCAGTAGGAAAAACTTCTATGACTTTTAATTGTTTTGTTGTAGCTGGAGTTTAATGTAATAATGGCTCATATTGTACAACAACTCGTAATTTATGTTATATGTAAAATCCTCATCTGCAGGGCTATAGTTGTTATTGAGTGTAAGGAAAAAAGTCATATTTCACTCTAAACATTTTTTGAATGTTATTATATATGTTTGAAGATTGAAAGGTAGTATAGTAGAAGTAGCATAGCACAATATTTGTATTATGTCAATAGAAGTATCTAAAAAGGGACATAATACTTGATAAATTAGCTTTACTTCTTAATTTTGGACGCAGTATTTTATTAATAGACTTATAACAGCTTTATCTGGCTACTGTCACAGGAGTTATGACAATGCTCTTACCTCAGTAATGAATCTTGCAGCATCTGTGAACACATGGTAGTCAATGTCAGTGTACTTCACCACCATAGTCTTATCCTGGTAGTCTCCATAAGCGACCAGGGCCAGTCGTATAACGAAGGAAGCCGTGAAAAGGACATGTTTTTCTGTTAGCTTTGTTATTAGCCGCTCCATCACCAGCAAAGCAGAGCAAACCAGATCAGCAGGCAGCACCTGGAGCTAAAGCAGCTACTCTGTCGTCTTTAAGCGGGAAAACGTTAGCCGAATTGCCCGTCTCTATCATTTCATCTTGACTTTAAAAAATAATAATGGATAACACTGCCGTCCAGCGATTTGTTTTAAATAAGCAGACTTCAAAAATTACATCCAGGAAGTTAACCGGAAGTGCCTTTCCTAACATGTTCTTCTTCTCGGACTTTTACCAACGTAGCGACGAATTAACGCCTCCTAACGTTCAGGAGTGAGATGCGTTTATTGACAACGACATCCTTTTCCCCCTGTATGGTGTATTTAACACACTAAACATGTCCCATTGCTTTTATTTTGCTGCATAATTCTATGACTACCTGCTATGAAAAATTAAAAACGGTGTGTCCAACATAGCAAGCCTTTCCTCCTGTTTCTACATGCAAAATATATTTTTTAAACCGGTCAGACATGACACTAATTTGATCTACTTGAAAATGTTATCTTCTTTTAAGAAAACCTGTTACTGTTGTACTTTTTATGACAAAGACAGCCTGTAGAAATGGGATTCCAAAAGTAGTACTGCCTCATACAGAAAGCATTATACTACAGTCAGTTTGGGTTACACATTAACAGTGTAGTGTAGTATTAGTACTTCTACAAGGACAGGTCAAACTACAGGTTTTCATCCCACATGACTGTTTCAAATCTGAGAACAATATCAATGACAACCAAGATTTGGAAACGGCACACTTTTTTATTTCATTTGTAAAACACAAGTATACATAAAAAGGACATGGATTCGACACCAGTTTAAACCCTCATGTAAGCTTTTGCTTTTTATAGAATATATTTAGAATTTGCATACGTATCTATCTGAAAATATGCTGTAATCCCATTCTTTCTTTGGTTAACTGAACATATAAAATGCTGAAAGTGTATTTTCTGTAGATAAAGTGCCAAGAATCTTGCAGAATTACGTGTTAAAAAGTATAGTTCAGGTCTGGCAGTTAAAAAATGAACAACATGGAAATTGTGATAAAGGCAATTCTTGCAAAGGGTGTTTTAGATGATATAGACTTTAGACGTGATTGGTATAGATTAAATAGGGTAAGGTGTAAGGCTGCAGCAAAAAGGGCCATACTTCCATTACAGACATAAGGTAATCAAGGTCTTAAGGCTGAAGATATTAGGTGCAAAACACAAACTGTGTACAAACCTAATAATCAGGATTAACACAGAATATTTTATTCACTCATATAAGGAATGATGGAGACCAGAAGCAACAGTTTAAAAAAATCCAACACCACTCATCGTTCTACATTATGAGGTTACACCCCCTTTAGTTGAGAACCACTGCTCTTAACTATGTAGAGCTCACTCAGGGGAGCAGTATCTGCCAGCAAAGAGGACACTCATGGAGGGGTTATGTCGGATGAAGAAGAGGAAGGGGTGGTCTGCAACGAAGCGCTCTGGCCGCATCGGGGCACATCGCAGCATCATGATCGCAGCAGTGGCAGCAGCAGCCTCAGTTCCCTCCTCGTTGACCTCCACAAAAGCCTTGTGGACAACTTTTGACAGAACCAGGTCGTTTCCAGGGGACATGCCTGTCACAGACCAGAATGAGACAAAATATTTTAAACAAATATGTCTGGTCTCATATGATGGAAATAATGTGAGTGTGAGAGGAGCAAGATCAGGTTTTTTAAATCAGAAGTGTTATTCTAATATTATCCAGGGACCATGTCTTACCTGAGAAGTCACTCATTGCCATGTCGAAGGCATCTGCCATGCCCATGCTGACCAGGACATTTTTCAGATCATACAACTCCTCCATCTTAAAACGAGGCAGCCCCACCATGACCTCAACATTATCCATCATCTCTGGACGAGTCCACTCGGTAAAGTTTTCATAGGTCAGCTGTTTCTCCAGCTGTAGGTGGACACAAAATCAATAATTAGTTTTTGTCTGTATTATTTGGGTTCCTTAATGTGTACAAGTGCATGTCCTACCTTCTCCAGACCTGTTGTACTGTCCTCTATATCCTTGGGCAAAAAGATGAGCATGCTGAGCTCCTTTCCTTTGTAAGGCATCGCAAGGATCTGTCAAACAAAAGGTTTCAAACATTATAGTAGATGCACTGGTCTGACAACCATTGTTTTTTTCGGTAGATTACAAGGAATACATACAACCATTGTCTGCTAGTTAGACACAGTTATAATCAAATAGATTGTTACCAAAACCCAATCAATTCTCTTTTTACTAAATTGTGAATCACCTGGCAGCTGGCTTCAGAGATGTAGGTGAAAGGGAACTTTGATTTCATGTTCATCATCTTCACTGGTTTGGTGCCATTCTGAATATACATTACAAATACAAATTATAATTAAATACAATTACATTTTAAAAACTCATATTCAATTGACTATTTGCTTAAAGCAGTGTTACCTTGTTGAGTCTAAACTGAGAATCCACAGTTTTGCTCTCCTCAAACTGTTTGTCCCAGTTGCCTTTGAAGTAGATGGCATTGACCAGCACCATCCTGGTCATGCTGTCCACCACTCCCTTGGCCAACAGATCCTTAATTTTACCTTGTAAACAAAATCAACACATTTGTGAAGCAATGTTAGACTACTTAAAGAATGTGTGCAGCTTTGAAAAATGGCAAGCCCAGGTGACATGTTTCAGTGTGTGTGATGCACCTTGTGTCATCTGCTCCACCCAGTTGTTGATGTTGCCTCTCGCCACTTCTGAGCTGTTCACAAAGTCCGTAGACTCCAGCTCTGCATTGTAGTGCTTCTTGGTTTTCCCTAAGAAATCCTAGAATCAACACCATCAAATTTACTAATTCTGATCACCGAAACAAAAATCTCTTTTCTTAACTTAAGCAAATGGAACATATCACAATCACTGTTTTACTTGCTCATATACTGGCTACTCCCTCATCATTCTTTCTTACAAAGCTCACAGATTCCTATGTGGGCCTCTCATTTTCTCCAGCCTAATCATTTGTAAACAGAACCATACCTATTCATAAAGATGGGCACACACACACATGCTGAAACGCACTCACCTCAACAAACTTGTAGGACTGCTCCCCGTACAGCCTGTTGGCGACACTGAGGGCAAACGGAGCGTTTTCCCTGTTCAGCTCTGACAGCAGTTCAGCGAAGCTCGTATGGACCTCATCCTGCAAGCCCTTGGTTTTCAGGCACTGTGGAGAAAGTAGACAAGTGTTACAGAGATGCATTAAGCATGTGATGGATAGGTCTATTATAAACGGTATAAGACTAGTTATCTTGCCTATGAGATAAGAGAGAAAATAAAGCAAGTTTAACAGGCAAATTGCAGATTTTTGTTGCTTTGTTCTACTCATTTTCATACATTGTGTTAAATGATTGTTGATTACTAGAGTATGCAGTCACTCACCTGACAGACCCTTTATTGTATATATTGTGTATATATATATATCTGAGAACAACTTAATCATTTACAAAGGTTAAAAATATAACAAGGCAAAAATTGACATGGGGAAAAAAGAAACACACCTTAAACACTGACTTTAAAAAGCCTTGAAACCCCAGCCCAAGCTTTGACGAGCCTTTCCAGACACATTCACATAAAGAGATCCCTCCACCATGTTGTTATTTACATTGTTACATGCAGAGAAAACTTTCCAAACCCTTTAGTCGACTGAAATCAGGATGGTATGTGTTGGTGTCCATACAAATTCCGTATAATTAATTTTGACATTTGGTGTTTCCCACATACAGGAGTGTTCTCTGAGTAATACACTAGAATAAGGCATGTATACAAAATGTAATCGTTTTATTTGTTTGTACTCTTCTAAAGAATTTGTGTCTAGTGTTGGTTTTTAGCAGCTGGTTGTAGGAGATAAGAAACATGACTACATTCCTGAGTATTATGTAACACTTTGGAGTTTTGAGCTGTTGGAACATCAACCTTCAGTTAACAAAAGACAACTAAAGCATCTGTTTTGTATTGTTCTTGTTTTTCTAAATTCAGTTGGATACGGCAGCACATTGCAGCAAAGAAGTGTAAAAAATAGCATCTTGAACCACCCGCTCTTCCCCTGCACCATATGACACCAGACCGTAAGTAAAATGCCCTTAAAATGTTAGTTCTTCATTCCTTTACTCTTGGCTTTGTTACCATCTTCCGCAGATATGGTGGCAGCATGGCGTTGACTTTCTGCTGCTGCTCCATTCCCATTTGCATTTGCTCTCCTCCACAATGCCGCGACTTATCTGCCTCAGTAAAGCAGAGCACCTATGGGTGGTAGTGTTCACTGTTGAGTTAGACACTGTGTCCTTTGGTCTGGAAAACAACGCTTTTATATCTGCCGAGCAGTGATGTGTGGGCTGAGTAGTATTCAACAAAGCTAGGAAAGTTCATTACCCTTCCAACGGGAAGCTGGATGAAAGATGATACCAAGTAAATAAATTGCTAAAACAGAAGTGAGGATTTTTTGTTGTTGCAACTGAGATAAACCCCTCTCAAGCATAAAGAAATCGAGAGATGATTGTAGTTATATAATACATCAGAATATACAGGTTTTACACAGTCCAAACACCATCTTCAAACTATTGACCTATGTATTTACATTCCTTTCCTACATACATTTCCCGAATGATTTTGACTTGAAAATAGGTAAATGTAATTGCATTGGCATCTTTTTGTCTTCTATCTCCATGTATTGATGAGTAGAGGTCGTAAAGGGTAACCACACCCAACAATATTGTCAGGGTGAACTCATTACACCCTGTTTGTGGAAGGAGAATCGCCCCATGGACGGCTGTGGGGATGTGCCCGACAAAATCACTGGTTTGGGAACCACTGGATTACATACATTTAACAAGATAGTTGTAAAGCACAAGTGATACTGCACTTCCAGAAATATATTAAGAAAACGTTATTTAAATAACTGTAACAGTCTTAATTGACCGACCAGTATATTATACTGGTTTTCATTTTATATCTTTTTTACTTTTGAGTTGGTTTGAGTAATAACGGTTGTCATGAAGATAAATGACAAATTGGGTTGTGTCATTGCTGGCACACACACATTGATATGGTTTACACAACTAGTTTCTTTTGTAACTGGCTGCCAGGAAGAAAGTCTTGCAGCAACCACATGTTACTCTCACCTCTGTTCTTCTTGATTCATGCAGAAACACAGAGCCACTCTCTGTCATTGAGCAGTCATGCATGCACACACAGGTGTATCACCTGGACTCATAACACAGGAACCTTATTTGATAAGCCATCAATCACATCAATGTCCCAGACAATGATAAATCATAATAATAAATAACCGTATCCATGTGGCTTTCACCTTGCTCTTACCAGAAGAAACATGTACTGTCGGCTTTATTTTGAAGCCCTGCCTTTCCCACATACCCATGATTCCACCAACCCAGAGTCCTCTAGGTGTGGCTTTGGCAATTCTTTAGAAAAATCTCACAAAAGGTTCTTGTTTGACATAATTCCTTCGAAACGTTGAGCTTCTGCTGCTACAGAATGCCACTGTGTGAAGGCTTTCTTTCTTTCACGGTGTAAAGGTATACATCAGTATACATTTTTCCATTAAACAAAGTATATTTCTGAAAACCGTTGCACTAAGCTTTGACAATGCTTTTGGGTCTCATACTTTTTAATAACCTAGTAGGAATTCCTTCTTTATTGGATGTATCTACATTGAAAATGGCAGAGCGAAAGTCATTTTAGATTTTTTGGGAATACACTTTTTTTTTTTTCCATATAAAAAGGAACGCAAATATTCTTTCAGCCGGCATTTATTGAGCAACTCCCTTTGAGGATTACTCAGTAAACATAACCTAACGATAAGGTGTACAGATAACTTAACCTATATCTTTATTGCCCTTAATGTACACTTCCATGTTACCTTTCACGTACCTATGGCAACACAACAAAGAGCCACCCCTCATAAAACCTAGTCAGAGTCTGAACAGAATCGTTTTTTTTGTCATTCCTGCTGACACTGTAAGAAAAAACTTGTGAATCATAGAGACTGACGGCCGACACCCTGCCCTTCATTCCTGTCAATTTCCCCACCCCCCCTCCATCTTTTTTAGTTTCAAACAATGCTGGGCTAACTGTAAGGTCAGTTAAAAGACACAGTTTGTGGTGGTTTAATCGGATGCAATTACAGCAGATGTTGCTTTACAACTTTACAAAATGACACCAAGCGAGGTGCACCGACCTCTTACTTTTCAGAAACTATTTTTTTTTGGCTGTGTCTATACGTGTACTGTACCTCTGACATCTGTGTGGATGTGTTGCCCCTGGTCCCCAGCATCACCATAGCCAGGGCTGAGGAGATGCTGAAGGGGGAGTAGAAGACATTCGCGGCATTGTCGTTATCGCCTAGCTGTTTGAGCAAAGCCAGAGCGAAGGTGGTGTTGGCCTTGGATAGAGGGGTTGGTGATGCCATGGTGTCTGATGGAAGAAAGAACAAAGGAAAGTGTGTTAATATACCTGATAGACCTAAAGACAATTAAATGAAAACCGGTTAGATGCAGTCTTTAGTTCAGAAAGGATTTGAGAGACTAAGCAGGATTAATTCAATATATCTTTTAAAACAATTGGTTGATTTACCGTGATCTGGGCTCATTTTAACAATTGGGAAAGTGGAGGATTGGGAATTATCATTGATAGCTTTTCTTGTAAAATAACCTCATCCTATGTATGCACATTCACAAATGGATAGAAAAATATATTTAAAACATATTACATAATCACAACATTTACACTACTTCGACATAATGATTACAATTGCTCTAACATGGCAACAAAAACTATTTATAATGCTACATTAAGACACTTTCTGTAACATTATAATTAGATTACACAGTACTTTGATCTATTCATAACGCCATATTTCTTTCACCTGCAATCAGTAACACCTGTCCTGTTTAACCTGTCTGGTAACACTGTTAAGAATCAATGTGTTTGTAGCCTGGATCAACTTACTGCTGTACACAAACCAAATAAATAAATTCGCCCCGTCACAAACTAAACGAAATTAATTTCCAACTTACTGTTAGACACTTTTCTGATAGACTTCGAGTGTTCAGGAGTCTTTCCGTCACAGGAAGTCTTGTGTTTGAAGCTTCAGTTTTTATTATTTACAGGTTAGCTGACACGCCCCGAAATCCTTCCTGTCAGATGAGCTTCCGCATTCTCATATGTCATTGTACGGAGGCCGAAAGGACAAAACGAGCTTTCATTCGCTTTTTTTCTTAGCTCAAATAAAACGGCAGAGGTGGGAAAGTACTCAAATCTTTTAATTAAAAGTAGAAGTACCAGAGTTTATGAATACTTTTTTTACAAGTAAAAGTCCTGCAATGAAAATGTTACTCAAGTAAAAGTACAAAAGTATTGGCATCTAAATATTAGACATGGTATAAGTCCCAAAAAGTACTCATTATGCAGATTGGCCCATTCAGAATCATATGTATTATATGTTTTGATAATAATTATTAATGTATTAAAGTGTTATCAAAGCTGGTAAAGGTGCAGCTAGTTTGAATGACTGTGTGCAGGGTAGCTTCTGGATTTACTCCAGGTGTAACTAAAGTCTGATTTAAGAGTTGATTATATTTCACATCATTAATCCACATCTGTAACGCAACTAAAGATATGATATGAATGTAGTGGATTAAAAGTACACGATTTACCTCTGAAATGTAGTGGGGTAAAAAGTACAACGTAGCAACAAATTGAAATACTCAAGTAAAGTACCTCGAAATTGTAATTAAATACAGTACTTGACTAAATGTACTTAGTTACTTTACACCACTGGCAAACGGTTATGACTAATTATTATTATTTTTGTCACTGTCGAAATTAACCAAAACGAAAAAGTAAAAATAAACAAATATCACTGGGGAAAGAAACAACCTTCAGCAACATAGGTTCAATAATTTGGACTGAGGTAGTATTTAACATTACTACTGATAAGATTCAACCAGTTTGAGAGAAAATACACACATAATGTAATTGTGTTTCATTCAACTATATTTGGAGTGTGTATTCAATTTCCAATACATTCTGTTAGCTCTAGGGCCTGCATACATTTAATTTGAGTGATGAAAGGTGAATAATAACAGTGTTCCACCAGATGGCGCTCATGTCAGGATTTCTTGATCATGACAGCATTGATAGAGTGGGATTAAGATTACCAATGTCTTACAAAAATTGCCATAATTGACTGCAAACAAAGAGATCTCAAAATGTTTTAAGGCTACTTCAAAAATCGGTACAGTAATTAAGTCAGCCAAGGCCTACAACAAAAAAACAGTATGCAATTACACACCTTTTTATAAACATTTGTATTAGTTTGAACCCATTTTAAATGCATTATAAACTGCAGGTTTGCTTATTCTGTTATTTTCTGTCTTTATTTGTTTCACCGATTGAGCTATAGTGACCGAGCCCTCACTTTGCAGTATTGTAAAACAAGGATTCATAAGATTAAACAAAAAATGAGAATAATTCATACAACACAATTGACACATTTTGAAAATGTCATAATTTGAAAGACATTCAGATTGCATAGAGACAAAGGAAACTTTATTTCATACTAGATTACAGTACAAAATTATTCATATTGGTTTATAAATGAAGAGAATCACATTTCAGATTTTGTGAAATCATTGAAACACCTTTTTTTTTTTAAGAGACAGATAAATGGATCAGACAATGAATGGAATGTGAGGGTGCAGTGCGTAGGACGTGGATCTCAGAGAAAGAGAATGTGGGCAGGATGGCAAACAGAAAATAATAATGAGTAAGATGTAACTGACGTTACTTGGTTGTACCCGGGGGGGGCCATTTATCTTGATCTGCAGGACATGCAGCGCTCACTCAGGGGAGCTGTATCGGCCGGCAAAGAGGATGCTCATGGAGGGGTTGTGTCGGATGAAGAAGAGGAAGGGGTGGTCTGCGTGGAACTCAGGCGGAAATTGCACTGAGGTTACTGAAATGACTCCAGCAGTGGCAGCAGCAGCCTCAGTTCCCTCCTCGTTGACATCCACAAAAGCCTTGTGGACGACTGCTGACAGGACCAGGTCGTTTGCCTTGGACATGCCTGTCAGCAGAGGAACAATTATTTATGATGCAAGCTTGATAAGTAATACAGGTGTTTTGAAGAACCAATGTATGTCTTCAGGCTTGTTTGCATTTCAAATGCAACCTTTTGGCGTTTGTTCAGTTCAACTCTTGCTATAATGATGCAGTTATGTTATATTTCTTACCAGAATAGTCACTCATCGTGACATCAAAAGCGTCCATCATGCCCATGCTGATCAGGATGTCTTTCAAGCTATACGACTCCTCCATCTTGAATCGAGGCAGCCTCACGTTCACCTTAGTTTTACCCATCATGTCTGAGCGAGTCCACTCCACAAATTTCTCATAGGTCAGCTCCTTCTCCAGCTAGTGTGGAGACAATATCATTTATTAGTGTGCCAGTTTGTGCATTTGTTTACGGTATGTGTCTGTGTTCTACCCATAGACTGGTTCTACCTTCTCAAGGCCCGTTGTCTCGTCCTTGATCTCATTGGGCAGGAAGATCAGCATGCTGAGGTCTTTCCCTTTATAAGGCATCTCCAGGATCTGTGCAGACACATTCCAATTTTCATTTCAAGGTAATCTGATCAACAAACTGTTAAAAGTATGGAAAGTCTACTCTACTATACATACATTTGGAATATGGTAAATCTATATTTGATTGAAATCTGTTTGGAAATGACTAATATCATATTGCATTGCAGGCAAAAAGGCATTACAAAACCAATAATGTTCAACAAAGAAATGGACATTACCTGGCAGTTGGCCTCGCGAATTGAGGAGAGACCAAATTTACTGGTCTGTTCCATCATCTTCACCGATTTAGTGTCATTCTAAAGAAAGCAGCAAACACAACAAGTTATTTTCCTGAGTTATCATGTTTAATTCATGGAAGATATAGCAGAACGGCTAATTTCTTAAAAAAAAATTCTATCTGAAACATTTCATGCTAAATTGTTCCCCTCAGACAAACACCCTGGGAATGTTTGGGCTCAAGAGTGATGGAAAAAGTACTCCGATCTTGTGAACAGGTATCAGTAGGAATACAGCAGTGGAGAAATAAACAAGTACAAGTAAAAGTTGTACAAAAGTATTAGCATCAAATTAGGGCACTATAAGTACAAATATTCTTGTAGAATAGCTGATTTCAGAATAATTTATATTTTATTATTGGAAAATTATATATTTGTGAAAAAGGCAAATTAAAGCCATTACTCTCCCTTTTGTTGTTTTCTGTTTGTTCCCTATTAAATAATTATAGCTCCTGTTTGTATTAATTTGATCGGAGTACAACGAATAAATAACTTCAGAGTTGATCAAGAATATCTGATTTATGTTGCTTCCCTTACCCTTAGCGAGCTGGGTTGCAACAAGCTTTAATTCGAAACATCACTTTGAAGCTGTATCCATAGCTTTGTAACGTGTTACCTTGTTCATTTTAAACGGAGCATCAACAGTAGAATACTTCTTGAACTGTGTCTCCCATTTCCCTTTGAAGTAGATGGCGTTGACCAGCACCAACGTGGTCAGGCTACCCACCACACCCTTGGCAAGCAGATTCTTAATTTTATCTGGTGAACAAAAGAATAAAAATACATTAAGACAGACGACCACTGTTATCACCAAAAGCTATCATTTCTTATCTACTGACGCGCTCAAATGTAGGCTACTATGAGCTCTACCTTGAGTCTGATCCTCCACCCATTTGTTGATGTTGACCCTGGCTGCTTCTGCGCTGGCTTTGAAGTCCACAGACTCCAGATCAGCGCCGTAGTGCTTTTTGGTTTCTGCTAAGAAATGCTGGAATGATAAACAGCATATTTAAATGCTCGCATCGCAACTGTTAACTTGCATGTAACCATTGCACAAAGAAGAAACACTTTAAGAGATACTATATCATTTGCATGATTTCTAATTGAATATACCATGGTTTTGTTAATTCTGTATTTGGAGATAAAACCAAGATAAGTGGAACTGATCATGAAATAGTTGTAGGGAGTACTTTTACTGCATGCCACATTTCTCAACAGTGTTAATCGAAACATGTAATAACACTGGTGACTCTAATTATAGGGCAAGGATCCAGGTTGATGGAAATTAGGTTGCACATTAACAGGTTTTCTTTCTGACCAATAACAAATTAATGCAGAGCAAAAAGCACAAACACACCTCAACAAACTGGTAGGACTGCTCTCCGTAAAGCCTGTTGGCAAGGCTGAGGGCATACGGAGCGTCGTCCTTGATGAGCTTACTCATTAGTTTGGAGAAGCTTGCGTGGACATCCTCTTCATCATTCTGAGGTGGCAGGAACTGCAAACAGCCAGATAGGATTAGCATGTTACAAAAACAACACTGACACAGAGACAGATAAAAGAAAACCTTGTATTATGTATCATAATCTTGTATGGATCATCGGCCTTGTGATCAGCTTGGCTGTTAAATAATGAGAATAAACACCAAAATCATTGTTAGCCCTGATTATCAATGCTACAATTACTGTACATACTGTGGAATACTGAGGCAGCCATTACCATAGGAGAACATTAAAGCTTTAAGCACCTTTTTTAAAGCGATTCATTGAACATGAATCCGTGCTCTAGGCCAAAATCTACAGGTGTGTTTCAGGGTCTTTTTTTTATTTGGCATAATGCTACTGTATGGCTTTCTTTAGCATGGAATGCTGTCCTTAAAGCCAATGATTTTTGAGTCATTGTTATAAACATTTAATGTAATTAGAATGACATTGGACAAAACCTCCAGAATCTGGGAGATTTCGGAAGTTTAACTTTTCCTTATTATACCTACAGCACCTTTTGAAAGAATCTGAAAAATGGAATCAACAGACCAAACGGAAACGTAACACCAATAGAATAAAGTTCAGTCTAATTTACCCTTATCGTTATTAACGCCTTTAATTTGGCTTTGTTCCCACCTTGCGCACACACTCCGGCAGAATGGTGGACTGATGCATCTGCGACTGCATCTGCGACTGCATTGTCTCTGCTCCTGTCTGCTCTGGTTGCCCTTTCTCAGTAAAACGCAGGACCTGGGGGGGGGGGGGGGGGGGGGGGGGCACATTCGTATCTCATAAGTTGGATCGGTGTTAAGTTACATTTTGTCAGTGTGACAATACAGTTTGATGCACAGGTAAACAAAGACACAGCTTGTAGAAGCACTCTGGTGTCTGGCCTAAGGACATACACATTAAGTCACATGCACATTTTCTTCTGTATAATTGATGACTCCAGGCAGAATTACGACCCTGCTGAAAGAGTAAGATAATTGCATTTAAAACATCACCAATGAAGAGGAACAGAAGGATTGCCAGCTAAATGAACTAGTGAGTAAGAAAAGTTATTGACAACTAAAGCTTCAACTAAATAGTAAATAGTATTTCTCTCTGAAATGTAAGTAAGGTCATAGTATAAACAGCAGAAAATGTAAATACAGTAAAGTAAGTATAAAATTGTACTTCAGTATGGTATTTGATTAAATGTACTAGCCTAAATGACTTTACACCACTGACATGACACCATACACATTTGTGATTGGTATAAATGTGCTTTCTCACTTATGTTTTATCGTTTTAACTATTTTTTAAAATGTGTATTTGAGTTGTATAAATTGAAAATAATCCTAATTAATTTAACACACTATTCCTCTACCTGTCAACCAAGGCAGGATGAAATATATCCCTGCCCTTTTTCTAACTGCTGCTGGGAGACAAATAATTAATTGCATGTGCAGGCACTTTCTCATGCCATACCCCACAAGAAATCCAGAACAAAACCTTCTGTCACCTCTCATATCATTCTTAATTAAATAAAAGGCATCTTTCAATCAATGTTAAAAACATCAGAGTAGATCGTTTTTTTTCCGAATAAAACCTGTGCACGTGACAGAGCTTGATATCCAAACCCACACCTCACGATGGCATAAAGATTGCGAAATTCCAGCCCCATCAGCAACTCACCTTAAATTACATGCCTGTTGATACACTTAAAATGGGTGTGGTACCCTGAGAACTGGACCGTTTTATTTTTCAGTGTACGTGCGTATTTAGGTGTGTGTCTACCTCTGACATCTGTGAGGATGTGTTGCCCCCGGTCCCCAGCATCACCATAGCCAGGGCTGAAGAGATGCTGAAGGGGGAGTAGAAGATATTTGCGGTCTTGTCGGCATCACTGAGCTTTTTGAAAAGGTCCAGAGCGAAGGTGGTGTTGGCCTTGGATATCTTGGATGGGGGTGATGTCGCCATTGTGTCTGATACAGAGCAGAACATAAATCACTGCATTATAAACTGTAGCATACCTCTGTTAGGGTTGGGCAAAGGTAGGACCCAAATGCAGACTTCAAAAAGGAAAAAGGTCTATAAACAAAAGGCGAGCTTTATTCCAAAGCCGATGAGCACAAAAACAAGGCATGAAAAAACATAGATAGCACAAGGTAGCGAATACAAACAAAACTGACCGTGACTGACATGGAGGGAGACAGGAAACACCAACAATGAACCGACAAGGCACACAGGGGAAGACAAGACTAAATACAGAGAGGGGTAATCACAAGACAAGACACAGCTGGGGTAAGGGAGGCAGAAACACAAGGGCAACAGGTGAACACAATCAGACACAACAGGGAAACTAACGACAGGAAGGCAAACACAGGAAGAAGGAACAGAGAAGACACAAGGAGGAAAACATTTCAAAACAAAGGTGGAAAATGAAAACATAAATACAAAACCGTAACAACCTCTATGTGAATAAATTGCATTTACCCTTTTAGCCCGTTATGCTGAGACACAAATAGCTTTAAAAAATGTTTAATAGTCTTGGTAGTGATTGGTTGTCTTTTTTTCAACAACAAGTAGAGGTGATATTTGTTATTTTTATAAATGATTGCACTTTTAATATCTTCCTAACTTATATCGTCCTTTTGTTAAATCTATGTATTAGGCCTCTTTGTTTGATTTGCCAGGTCTTCAGTATTTGTAGGTTTTAAAATGTTAGCACCTTGCAATATACTCTTCTGAATTTCTCCATTATTTATGTTCCGAAACCTTGTCACTAATCAGTAAATATAAATCCAGTTATTTACTTAATCAGAAGGGAAAAGGCATGGAACTCAGTTACTGTAAATCACACAGATATTGCATCATTGCCTTTGGAAACCAGGTGAAAAAGGAATTACTGTAAATCAAGAACTGTTAGTTAAATTAAACCTGGTTAACTCCTGGTATCCTTTACGAGCATTATCAACAAAATCAACAACATGAAATGGCAATAAGGTGCATCAACTTACTGACAGAGGCTCTTCTTCAGCGAACAGGTGATGTGGAATGGTTCAGTTTAAGAAAAACTAGTTTGAGTTGTCACATTCCAAGATGTGTCGAGATTACACCAATCACTGAAGGACACACCCACCCATGTGATGTTTTGGGTAAATGACGTGTGTCAATTGTAAGAGTTTGCTAATCAAACACTCAACAGAACCATAAATGGATGAATGGATGCTCATACATTCAAACTGTTCTATGTTGTGTTTGAGAGGTAGAGTTGGGCATTATTTGGCATCAAAGACAAAGGTCTGTTTGTCATTTATTCCCCATGTGCAATACAAGGAGACCATTACTAAAGATTTATAAAGACCTTTTTTTTTAAATGTTTTTATTTTTCACATAATGTTTGGTTACTTTTGTGGTGTGGCTTATAAAATAAGATAAGAAGTACTTTATTGATCCCAATTTGGGACATTTCTGCAAAATACAAGGCTTCCATCAGCTCTTATTGGAATGCTTATTTTTGGTAGTCAATAAGTCAGCCAAGGCCTCAACAAAACACTTTAGGAAATTAAAAACATATAATTTGAAGATTTTTAGGACAGAGGAACTGTACCTGCGTTGGCCTTCTTATAGAGAGGGATCATACTAGGAAAAGGACCTCTACAATGATTTTATTTGTTTGAGCCCAGAAATATGAACTGCAGACTACCTTTGCTTAGATTTATCCTCTCATGATTTATTTCCACTGATTGTGCTATAATGACCTAGCCCTCATTTCACAAAACAATATGACGAAAACAAAAATATGACAAAAGACTCTTTATTCGGTTTCTTCCTTCTCATAATGTCAACACTTTACATAATTGATATATTCTCTCTAGATAAAGACGAGAACGCCATGATTTGTAAGACATTCAGATTGCATAAACAGAAGTAAGACCATTTTATTTCATACTCAATTACAGGAAAATATTAATCTTATACATTTTGGTCAATATATGGACAGAAGAACTAATGACATTTTAGACCAAATTTGTTATTAAGACCGTGGGAAACAATTGCTAAACGTTCCACTTGTGACAGATGAATGAATAATATAATGAATGGAATGAGAAAATAGGACGTGGATCACAGAGAAGGAGAATCAAACATTACCAGCACACATAGCTAGGAATCAAAGAGCAGCCACGGGGCCATGACTCAAATACACAACACATGATTTAATGTGGTCTCTGTTACATGTCAAGTGTCTTTGTGCACTTCACATCAACATTATCACAACCCCAGAACACACTTTCATAACTGTTAAAAAAAGTCAGCGGCATCTCTAACATCTGAGTGGATCTGCACACTTGAATCACTCCAGTGTATCTATGTCAAGATGCTGTAAAAAAATTATGTGCTGGAAAGGGGAACAAGTTTGTGTTAACTTCCTAAAAAGAAACCCAGTCACATTGACTTGTGATGTGTCAGCATAGGGACAATGGTGTACTGTAATCTGTACTGCAGGACATACAGCAGCGCTCACTCAGGGGAGCAGTATCGGCCAGCAAAGAGAACGCTTTTGGTGACATTGTGTCGGATGAAAAAGAGGAAGGGGTGGTCAGCGATGAACGTAACCGGAACCAATAAAGCGCGTTCTGTTAGCACGACAGCAGTGGCAGCAGCAGCCTCAGTTCCCTCCTCGTTGACCTCAACAAAAGCCTTGTGGATGACTTTTGACACTACCAGGTCATTTGCTGGGGACATGCCTGTCAGCAGAGGAGAAATGATTTATGATGCAAGCTTTATAAGTAATACAGGCAATGTTGTGTTTTATAGAACTCCTTTTTGGCTTTTGAAAGACATCCTTGTATTTATTTCTGCATGGAAAAGTGTTACTCTTTTATTTGTCTGTTTAGAAATGTTGTGCTCTTAAAATAATGATGCTGTTTATATATACAGTATATATATTTATGGAAAACGTCTCACCTGAAAAGTCACTCATCCTGACATCAAAAGCGTCCACCATGCCCATGCTGATCAGGATGTCTTTCAAGTCACACGACTCCTCCATCTTGAATCGAGGCAGCCTCACCTCCACCTCAGTTTCACTCATCATGTCTGGGCGAGTCCACTCCACAAATGTCTCATAGGTCAGCTCCTTCTCCAGCTAGTGTGGAGACAATATCATTTATTAGTGTGCCAGTTTGTGCATTTGTTAACTGTATGTGTCGGTGTTCTACCCATAGACTGGTTCTACCTTTTCAAGGCCCGTTGTCTCGTCCTCGATCTCATTGGGCAGGAAGATGAGCATGCTGAGGTCTTTCCCTTTATAAGGCATCTCAAGGATCTGTCAAAACATTCAATTTTTCATTTTGAATCTAATCACCAAATTGTTAAAGGTATGGAATTGTGCTTAACATACATAAATCTATTGTTTTTTTTAACCATTATCATGTATATTACCTGGCAGTTGAACTCGGTAATGGAGGTGATAAGAAATGTACTTTTCTCTTGCATCATCTTCACCGATTTGGAGTCATTCTAAGGAAAGCAGCAAACACAACAAGCACTTTTCCTTTTGAGTGATCGTCCCATCATACGAAAATATTAGCTTTCAATTGTCCCATAGGGTACTAAAAGTCAAAGTATTCAATCTGCAGAATTGCTCATTTCAGAATCATATATCCATCATATTCCAATCAAAGTCCATTTGATCTGAGTACCATCAATAAATAACTTTAAAAAATACCAAGAACATCTGGTTTATGTTGCTTTCCCTACTCCTAACAAACTGGGTTGCAATTAGATTAGAAATATGGTCAGGTTAACTGCTAAATCATTTCCAAAAGACCAGAAACCACCCAGTTTTTCTGCAGTGTTACCTTGTTCATTTTAAACGGAGCATCAACAGTCGAATCCTTCTTGAACTGTTTGTCCCATTTCCCTTTGAAGTAGATGGCGTTGACCAGCACCAACCTGGTCATGTTGTCCACCACACCCTCAGCAAGCACATCCTTAATTTTACCTGGTGAACAGTAAGGAAAGAAGATATCATCGTTAAGGCAGCTACAGTAGCAATGTTTACAGCCAAATTACATTTTTGATCCACCTTTACAGCATTTAAATATAAAATCTGAAAACAAAAAGGTAGGCAAAAAAAAAATGTGCAAGTGTATGAGTTATTGTGAGCTGTACCTTGCGTCTGCCCCTCGACCCAGCTGTTGATGTTGACCCTGACTGCTTCTGCGCTGGCTTTGAAGTCCACAGACTCCAGTTCAGCGCTGTAGTACTTTTTGGTTTCTTCTAAGAAACGCTGGAATGATAAACAGCACATTTTAAGACTCATTATGCTTTGAACTTGAATTAAGAAATACTTGAAAGAATAGTATATAATTTGCATGAGTTTTATACAAGTATGATACATCTGGCTATCCCGGATTTGCAACTAAAAACGTTAGTGAAGGATCACAAAGGAATACACCCACCTCAACAAACTGGTAGGACTGCTCCCCGTAAAGCCTGTTGGCGAGGCTGAGGGCATACGGAGCGTCGTCCTTGATGAGCTCACTCAGAAGTTTGGAGAAGTCTGCGTGGATCTCCTCTTCATCTTTCTCAGGCTTCAGGCACTGCAAATCAGCCAGAGAAGAAGTTCCATAAACACAGTGAACCAGTGATAGATAAAAGACAACCTCCATGTATAATGCGGATCATTGGCCTTTTGAACAGCTTACCTGTTTAATGATTAGAACAGACACAAAAATAATTTGCCCTTGTTACCAATGCTACAGTTACTGTATGTTGATTATTAAGGTAACCATTACCAAAGGAGAACATTAAAGCTTTAAGCACCTTTAAATGTTATTTATTGTTCATGAATCCATACTGTAGGCCAAATTGTAGTCAATTTTATTTTATTTAAGATAACGGTAGTGTATTTTTTGTCTGTGTCCTAGCATGGAACACGGCCTTGTTAATTTTAGGGTCATTGTCCTCAACATTTTATGTAATTCGACTGATTTCAGGCAACACCTTGCATGATTCGGATGTGTCAGAAGTTGAATTTTTCCCGATTAGGCCCACAGCACCTTTTTGAAATGAATAAAATGCAAAGACAGTCCATCCAAAAAACCTAACACCATTAGCATACTTTTTAAGCATTTTCACAGACAATGACCCACTGTTTTGTTATTTCACTGTCTCTTGTTCATTGTGGACCAAATACTATTTAGGATTAAAGGCTTTTGTTTCTGTAGAGATCGTAACATTTTCCATCTACTGCATCTACTTGTTTTTCAGTTTTGAGCTTCACATTACACTTCCAAATTATAGATTTCTAATGACATTTTTAAAGATGCATCAAAGCATATCAAATCATCAGTGGGGAAATAAGTGTGAAATACTTTGGAACACAAATCTTCGATCACCTCAACAGACAACCTAATCGAGCCTTATAATTAATAGTATATTTTCATTTGGCTTTGTTACCTTGCGCAGATACTGTGGCAGTCTGCTGGTCTTCTGCATCTGCTCCTGTATCTGCATCCGCATCTGCATCTGCGACTGCATTGGGGACTGCAATGATGTTGTCTCTGCTCCTAACTCCTTTGGTTTCTGGGTCTCAGTAAAACACAGGACCTGGGGTGGGGGGGGGGGGGCAAACGGAAGTTTTTCTAACCAGGTGGATCAATGTAAGAAGAGCAGTGTTACAGGGCAGTTCATTGCACAGGTTACCAATACCAAGGCTTGCAAAAGCACTCTCTAGTGGCTGGATTATGAAAATAAACTCTTATGTTGAGTCATCAAGGCATGCATCCACATGCACGTTTTCGTCTGCCAGACTGATGACTCTCAGGCAGGATTACAACAAAATCCCTCCAAGTAATATTCCATTGTGAACTCATAAACGGTCAACACCCTACATCATATCATAACTGTGAAGCTGCCCCTTGCTTTAGCTGTTTCTTTTCATGGCCCTATATTCATCAGGCTGAATTGTTTTTCCATAAAAAACAAAGAAAGGTATAATTTGTCTAATACAGGGGGCCAAGTTTGCATTCCATCCCATAAAATACATTTGCCATAAAATAAAATGATAGGGGGAACACTTTTCCAACTCACACATCTATTTTTCCTGTATCTAAGTTATGTTACAGCACTGATATAATAAGTTGGTGTAAATGTGCTTTGGTTTGCGATGCATCAAAGTTATACTTCATAGTTTTTATCATTTTTAGATGTGTATTTGAGTTTTATAAATGGAAAATATTCGTATCTAACTCAATTAAGTACTCCTCTCCCTGTAACCCAAGGCACGATTAAACCGATCCCTGCCCCTTCTTACTGTTGCTGGGAGACAGAAAGAGTTATTATTGCATGTGCAGTCACTTTCTCTACCACACCCTGACTCTGCAAGTTATCCCAGTAGGAATTCACCTCATATCAACTCTCATATCATTCTTTGTCTAAAAACAAGTCCTTATACCAATGCTTTTAACATTGATTGGAGAATGAATTTTCTTTTATTAAGAATAAAACCTGTGCACATGATGAAGCTTATAACCCAAACCCAGGCCTATTTTTCTTCATACAATAATACGATTGCGAAATTCCAACACCATCATCAACCCACTTGTAACGACATTTGAATGCGTGCCTGTAGAAACACTTCCAAATGGGTGTGTTAGCACGAGAACTAAAATATGTTGCTGTTCATTTTCACAATGTGAGTTTAAGTGTGTGTGTATACTGTACCTCTGACATCTGTGCAGATGTTTTGCACCTGGTCCCCAGCATCACCATAGCCAGGGCTGAAGAGATGCTGAAGGGGGAGTAGAAGATATTTGCGGTCTTGTCGGCATCACTGAGCTTTTTGAATAGGTCCAGAGCGAAGGTGGTGTTGGCTTTGGATATCTTGGATGGGGCTGATGTCTCCATTGTGCCTGATACAGAGAAGAAAATAAATCATTGCATTATACACTGTAGCATACCTTTCTGTGAATAATTGCACTTACCTGTTTAGATAAGGTTAAGCCATTATGTGAAATAAGCTTTAAATAAAAGTTTAAATTGATATGAATCAGTCTTTTTTAGCCTGATAAGAGGTAAGAGTTGCCAACTTTATAATTTGTGTATGTTATCCATTTTTAGCTGCTTTGCAATTGTGTTTTATTTTACAGCTCGGCACCGTTACTCAAAAATGCTCTCCCTTCCCCAGACGTGCAGACAAATCTCTATAGTTCCAAATCCTATTTCAAAATCTTGTCACTCACCGGTAAATATAAATCATATTAGGTACTTGAAAATCCCCAAGATATTGCATTAATAGTCTACGCCTATTGCCTTTGGGAACCAGGTGAAAAGGGAATGCTGTAAATCAGGAACTGTTAGTGGCATTAACCTGGTTGACCGCTGTTATCCTTTACAATCATTTTCAACTAAATCAACAAAATTAAATTGCAAAAAGGAACATCAACTTACTGACAGAGGTTCTTCTTCAGGGGATCAAGTTGTGTGGAATGATTCACTTTAAGAAAGATTAGTTTGAGCCGTCTGTGTAATTTTTTTATATGACACACCCAAGTTATGTCGGGCTGGCAACAACTGAGAAAGTATCTATCGATCACACCCATCAGCAAAAAAGACACACCCACCCTATGTTTTGGGTACAGGTAGTGTGTACATGGGTGTGTTTTGTGATAACCACAGACACTCCACAGTACCATAACAAATATAGATAGATGGATGGATGGATGGATGCAATAATGAATGGGTTTTTATTGGGTTCAAGTCGGTTCACGTTCAGTATTATGTATCCTACAGCGCCCTCCAGTGGCTATCTTAAAGCACTGTACCTGTCTTGGTCAGAATCCAGACGAGTAAACATGAGGAAGACAGGAGAGGAGGTATTGCAGAGGATTAACAGCAACAGGATATCAAGACATCAGGCTTTATGTATATAATAACCTTACTTTCTGAAGGGGACGGATACTGGCCTCCTACGGTAAGCTAAAGCCGGTGTCATCATGCGTCAGCTTTGTGCACATAGGCTGTCCTAGCTTACTAGCTAACGTGAAGGCAATGATAGCCTTATATCCCAGGTTCTCTCAATGGTGTGGAGGACACACCAAACGACGTCCAAAAAGATGTCTATTTAGCGTGTCAACATACCTGAAACAAAATTAAAGAAGACTTTCAACCGACTATTGTGAATTGCTTCTAGATAAGACATGAGTTTATTATAATTCAGCGTTTTAAAGCTTTAGTTTTAAACACAATGTGTGTTAGCATTCACTTTTTGCGGGTGTGAATCGCAAGCAACCGTTAAGGTTAGTAGGGCTGCTAGCGTTAGCAGCAGCTGTTGACGTGACTTAAGTTGTGATTTTTTTCAGTATTTACTACATTACAGAGCTTAACGGTAATATTGACCATTTTGGCTACACGTTGTGCCTCATGTTAACCGAGAAGCAGCGCTGTTATACAAATACTAGCGTTACATTACAACATTTTGGTGACGGAGTTCGTAGTTTTCAGGACGTCATTAGTCGTCGTTTAGTTAGCTTGCTTGCTTGCTAACGTTCCCTCCCAAACGCTACCTACATCAACAGCAGCTTAAAAGTATAGTTAAAGTAAGATATCAGATAGCCAACGTTTTGTTGTCATGCTGGCCCTAGTCCAAGCTCTGTCGTCATGTGTTTTTTTTAATAGCTGCAGTCAAGACTGAGTAAGCAGCATGAGCAATAAATGTAACCTTTTTAATTCTGTTGTTAACTCCTTTTACCATTCAGTCTTTTAATTATATATTCATAGTTTCCATATGTGTCTTCCTTTTGTTCTCCAGCCACGATATGACAATGACATTTTTATTTTGGCATTATTAACACCTATGACATGTGTAATATTGTGTTTGTGTTTTTTTATAATTTATACTCATCCAGAGACACAGGGCTGGCTTTTAACAGCTCCACTGATGCGGAATTTATGCTAAATCATTTGACAGGTAACTGACAGCCTCTCAGTAAGATCAGAAATCTATTCCAGGCCTGCTCTTGCACGAAAACCAACACGCAGGTTCCTCTTTCTTTATCTCAAACCAAAGCTACTGACTCCATCCTTTTTGCAGCATTGCAGGTGGGAGTGGTCAGGCTTCTAATGGAACAAATGCATAAAAGCTATTCAATTGACAAGATGATCTGAAAGACTGTTTACCTACAGATCTTCACAGGGTTTTTCCGTCGTGAATTTGACACATAATGCACAAACCCATAAATGATAAATGACATGTCAATAATTCATCTGCCCTCACAGTCTGGTACCCTTATTTCATGATGATGTTGGCTGACAGATCCTTTCTTTAATATTGGGATTAAAGGGAATCAGAGTTTCCCATTTATGCAGGCTGTGTTAAGGGAAGTTCATTTTGATCATGATAAATGCAATGAACATACCGAATGATTCCTTTCTTTGTTGTGCAGGGTGCTCAGAGTCTTCATCAGCTTCTCAGGGCGAGGGCTGCTGCACTTCCTCACACAGCGGCAACGGAGCAAAGCAAGGTCAGTGTGAAGAACCTTGTTGACTACTGCTGTGGCGGGGCAGGAGCACGCAGCTCAGAAGGATGGCATCACCCTTTGTACCTGTACCTGTGCCGATGGGCAGAGCCTTGTCAGGAGTTAACGGAAAGCTGAGACGACCACAGCGAGCTTCGTCTCTGGGCAGCGTCTCAAACAGCTTGGCCGGGGAGAACAACGAAAGAGAATGTGGATTGTTAGGTTCCCAGCGCCACTCACGCTGCGGCAGCCGGAGCAGGACACCACCACCCTCCCAGAGCCCTGTCACGCGGGCCAGGGTGAACGGCACTCTGGAGCCCTCCATAGAGTACTCCAGCTGTCCCCGCTCCATATCAGATCCTGCTCAAAGTCAGCTAGACGAGGACAGGCCTATTACCCCCACTTTACTGGGGTATGAGGTCATGGAGGAGAGGGCTAAATTCACGGTATGAAACCAGAAAACAAGCTTGCATCAAGACAGCCTTTTTGATTATTTATATTTGTCGCACAACTCTCCAGCTACGTTAAAATGCTACGTTTTTTTTAAGCCTATAAGGATTTTTAGATTGGCAGCACATTTGATCAGTTTGTTTAAGTTTCCAGTGGCAGGATAAACACATGAGCAAAAGGCTTACACATGCTCATTGAGGACAAGCACACAGAATGATGCATACAAAAGATAAAAAGTGTAATGTCAACATTTACTCAACACACATTATTAATTTGAAACAAAGAATCTACATGCGCTTAGCAAAATGCAAGAACTCTATACTTTTGCAGTCATAAACAAGACTTTTTTTCTTTGCTGCAGGTCTTTAAAGTTCTGGTAAGAAAGACTACAGATGAGAGCTGGGTTGTCTTTCGAAGGTACACAGACTTCTCCAGACTCAACGACAAGGTATGTTTGGGTGTGTTTTATTTACATATGTTTGCACCAATTGCACGTCTATGTGGAAAGTATGACCTCTCCCAAATCAAGCCTATCTGAAGCTTAATTTTGTTCTTTTTGCAGACACAGTTTTTTACCCATTAAAGTATTGCTTTCAGCATGTCTTCTTTTGTTTTTGAGTTGCACTGTGGAACTAATCAGAGCTTCACAAAGAAGGCTTCTGTTCCCAAATAGCCAACAGGCCAGAGCCAACTAGGGGAGCAGGTCTCTCGTGGTTTCGGAAAGGACAGTTTGGTCACAGATTACAAAAGGGAAGAGCCATGTGATACTTTGTGAAGGAAAATTATCTACAACAAGAGAAGATAATGGGTGGAAAGCTGTAACAAAAAAGCATTATATGATCTTTGTAAGCCCGTAAAATATTGATTACAGAAAAGCACAATTGACTGATTCATAAACAGTAACCCCAGGCAAGAATGTTTTCAACAAGGGGAACACCCTACATCCAACAAGTGGAGAGTGAGGGTAGAGAGGGGTGTGTGGACATCCTTTCCTCCATTCCTGTGGCTTTTCCATAGAGGCAGCTGTAACGATTATGCTGTGCTTGATGGCCTTATGCCGTGCGTGTACCGTAACTGTAGAGGCTACGTTTAAGTGTCTGGAAATGTCAGTGTGTCACATAAACATTTGGATGATATTTCTATGTGTATTAATCTAGAAGCGCTGCAAAAAGTACTCAATGTAATTTAAGAGGACTTGCCTTCTGCGTACATTGCCAAACACGCACATGTAATTGAGGAAAATCATGCGTTAATCCAGTGGTTCCCAACCTCTTTCAGTCAGGCCCCCATTGGGTAATTGGAAATATTTTCGAGCCCCCCCAACCCGGTTCCCACCAAGATTGGTAGAATTACTTGTATATAGTTGTACAAACATTACATTTTCTCTGCTAATAATAACAAGACACAAAGATCCAACTAGAATTTTTTATTTTTATTATGGATTGAACAACAAAACAAAAGTGCTTGTATTGGCAGATGATCCTGTGCTACTGTGAAATAATGAGGCCTAATTGAAACAATTACAAATACTGCTTATCAATCCCGTACTTTAACATTATTTTTATAGGTTATTTTTGTTACTTTTTAAAGGATAAAATAAACAAATTTGAAACAGAATTAACATTGATTTATTTTATGTATAATGTGGATTATGAGCTGCTAACACACATGACATACCTGCAGTGGTGGTAGTAACTAAGTAGATTTACTCAAGTACTGTACTTATTTTGAGGTACTTAAAGGTGGGGTAGGTAATTTTGGAGAAACCAGCTCGAGTGCGCTAGAATTTGAAAAATACACAGCCGGAAAAAATCTGCCACTTCCTTACAGAGCCCCTCCTCCAACACACACAAACGTGCACATGACCAATGAGGGCACGAGATAATTTTGTGCACAGATGGAAGGCTGACAGGCAGGTCGGCCATCCAGTCATTTTAGCTGGGCCGGCTAAAATGATTGGTCGTGCTTTTTACAGTACTATGGCTTCCACAGATGACATTTTGTTATGGATTTTTTTTTGTCAAAGCACCAAGATATTCATTGCTATCGGGATGTTAAGAGCATTCCATGGAATATAACAAAAAGTGTATCTCTCGAGCCGGTTTCTCAAATGTACCTACCCCACCTTTAAGTATTTCTTTGTAATTCTGCTCCACTACAGTCAGTGCAGAGGTAAATGGTGTACTTTTACTCCACTACATGTATTTAATACCTTTAGTTACTTTACAGATTTGGATTAATTATGTGAAATATAATCAACTCTTAAATCAGACTTTAGTTACACCTGGAATACATTCACAAGCTACCCTGCAGCATATTACTTTTACTCAAGTAGCCTACTTGATCTGTTCTCCACCGGCAGATCTCTGTGTGCACGGTGCTGCAGCGATTCTGTGAGCGAGCTGCCCCCCCACACACAGAGAGAGAGAGAGAGAGATCTCCCCACCGACCACGTTAGATGTCAAGGGAGATGTATGCCTCATCATCATACTTTGTGGATGTGGGCATTATAGCTGAAAGGCTTGTCGTGGGCGTGTCCACTTTTCTTTTAACTG